AATTTGGTCATGTACAAAATTGATAGGAGGGGGGGCCTGGGGGGGGTCCAAAAATCGTTCACTAGGACAGACCCCTACTGATGTAATATTTGTTATGTTAAGCAAAATTTCGTTGTCCTTGAATTTGTTTAATTTTGACTACTTAGAAATAACGTGGCCTGGAAATATATGTAGAGCGGCTTAATTTTTTTTTGTCCAGTCGTTTCATCCCTTTTTCCAAAAATATTTTTATTTTTACCATTTCTGTTATAAAATTTAAATTTGATTTCAGACCAATGGGGCCGCCGGGACAAATGGGACAACCCCGGCCAATGGGCCCACCCGGTCAAATGCCTATGGGCTTAGCCGGACAAATGCCAATGGGCCCACCAGGCTCAAGACCTATGGGCCCACCAGGACAACTTTCTACTCAAATGTCTGGAATGAATCTAGGACCTAACAAACCTGGTCCAGGACAGTTTAGACCGGTTGGACCTCCAGTAGGTCAGCAGGGACCCAGACCAGGAGGTCCTAATGGACTTCCAGGAGGGGGTCCGTTAGTGAATGGACACCAGTCCAATGGTATGAACGGACAAGATAGGATTTCACCTGTCAATGGTCAACCTAATAGTATGCAAGGGTCACAGTCAAATCCATCCTCACAGTCTGGAATGCCCCCTTCATCAATGCCCCCATCCTCAATGCCCGGCATGCCCCCATCCTCAATGCCCGGCATGCCCCCATCATCAATGCCTGGTATGCCTCCAGCTTCTATGCCCGGTATGCCCTCGTCTTCTCTGCCCGGCATGCCCTCCCAATCCATTGGCGGAGCTCCCCGCCCTAGTTTCAACCCTCAATCTATGGGCGGATCAAGTGCACCTATCACAAGGCCAGGAATGCCTCCAATGTCACAAGGAGGAGGAATGATGCCTCCACAGAGCAGTATGGGTGGTCCTCCGATGATGGGAGGTCCTCAACCTCCCAGTATGGGAGGACAGCAACCTCAGAGCAGATTTCAACAGCCTCCTGCAATAGGAGGTCAACAGCCCCCAATGATGGGAGGACCACAACCAATGATGGGAGGACCTCAGCCTCCAATGATGGGAGGGCCACAGCCTCCGATAATGGGAGGGCCACAGCCTCTGATGATGGGAGGTCAACAGCCACCAAGAATGGGTGGGCCACAACCACCTTCAATGAGTGGACAACAACCCCCTATGATGGGGGGACCTCAGCCTCCAATGATGGGTGGGCCACAGCCTCCAATGATGGGGGGCCAACAACCTGGATATCCTATTCAACCTATGGGACCAGGGATTAGTGGACCTGGAGTGAGTGGACCTGGAATGGGAGGACCAGGAATGGGAGGACCAGGAATGGGAGGACCAGGAATGAGTGGACCAGGAATGAATGGACCAGGAATGAATGGACCCGGTATGAGTGGGCCAGGAATGGGAGGACCAGGAATGAGTATGGGATATCCAAGTGGCATGAATGCTCCAAATCAAAGGAAATCTCTGGATCCAGATTCAATGCCAAACCCTATCCAGGTAAAGGACATTAAACCATGTTCTCGCATGCAGTTAAATTAAATACAGGGTTACCCACAAAGGATGAGACTTAATTGACGACTGTACGGAACATAACTGGTCTGTTTTCTCAAATTCATGGTTCCCTGTTACTATCAAGAGGCCACGAAAAGACTTTATTCAATGTAGAAGACTTATTCGACTTAGGAATCGTCAATTTAAGATTTCAGGTCGTCTTTAGAGTCTCATGCTTTGACGGTAATCATGTATTACGGGTCAACTCCGTGGCAACTTCACAAATATTCTGGCTTTAGCGCATGGCGCCTACAGTCATCAAAGCCGCAAATCATAACTTAACCTTCATGTAAACTAGACTTGGGCAAATTCCATCTTGTCACCATAGGAATTAAGTCTTAGCTTCAAACCAGTTCCTATACTTTGATCTTTGCAACCTGATGGTGTAAACCTTTGTTTTTTAAACTACGATTATATGATTTAACAGCTCTGATCATAATTTGAAAGTTATAATGTCTAGGTCATTGGATTGCTATAAGATATAGGGATTAGAAAATCAGAGTTTGTGGCAAAGACTAAATTTCTTATGGGTTAATTTAACATTACTCTCCAGAGAGGGGGAAATTATACTTAACTGGAGAGGAAAATTTGCATACCTTGAGAGGGGTAAATTGTACATGTACATAACTCGAATGAAAAATTTTCATAACTTGAGAGGGGGAAATAGTACTTTATATAACTGGCGAGGAAATTGTACCTGTACATAACTGGAGAGGAAAATTTTCATAACTTGAGAGGAGGAAATTATACATGTACATAACTGAAGAGGAAAATTTTCATAACTTTATGGGAGGAAATTGTACATGTAATGATGTACATAACTGGAGAGGAAAATTTTTATAACTTGAAAGGAGGAAATTATACATGAACATAACTGAAGAGGAAAATTTTCATATCTTGAGAGGAGGAAATTGTACATGTACATAACTGGAGAGGAAAATTTTCATAACTTGAGAGTAGGGTAATTGTACATGTACATAACTGGAGAAGGAAATTGTCCTTATCTGTAAAAGACCAATATTTAATACTTTTTTTAAAAATTCTTCTTAATACATTTTACCCAAAAATTCATTGATTTTCCCCATTCAGCGAATAAAACCCCCCCCAAAAAAATTGCCGCGCAAGCATATATAACTTCTGGGGAAAATTTATTTCAAAAAGGCGAAGAAAAATAGTTTTTGAAGAAGATATACACCCTTGTTTTAAAGTGAATTTATTAAGGTTATGGAGGATGATGTGAGGAGTTTCAGCACAGGAGAGTTTTATACAGATGCAAAGGGAAAAGTTCCTCCTCTTGTTACAACACCGTTTATTACTAGGGATGCTGGAAACTCAGGTTCTTATCCTTCCTTTCTTACATCCTTTCATTATTATATTCTTCCTTTCTTATATCCTTATATCCTTTCCTTCTTTTAAATCCTTATATCCTTTCCTATATCCTTTCATTCTAATATCCTTTCATTCTTATATCCTTTCATTGTTATACACTTTCATACTTATCCTTCCTTTCTTACATCCTTTCATTCTAATATCATTTCATCCTTATATCCTTTCATTCTTTTATCCGTTCATTCTTATACCCTTTCATTCTTATTCTTCCTTACTTACATCCTTTCATTCTTATATCCTTTCTTATATCCTTTCATTCTTGTATCCTTTCTTATATTCTTTCATTCTTCTATTCTTTCTTATATCCTTTCATTCTTTTAAATCCTTATATCCTTTCCTTTATCCTTTCATTCTTATACCCTTTCATACTTATCCTTCCTTTCTTACATCCTTTCATTCTAATATCATTTCATTCTTATATCCTTTCATTCTTATATCCGTTCATTCTTATACCCTTTCATTCTTATTCTTCCTTTCTTACATCCTTTCATTCTTATATCCTTTCTTATATCCTTTCATTCTTCTAATCTTTCTTATATCCTTTCATTCTTCTATTCTTTCTTATATCCTTTCATTCTTATATCCTTTCATTCTTATTTCCTTTCATTCTTAAACCCTTTCATTCTTATCCTTCCTTTCTTACATCCTTTCATTCTTATATTCTTTCTTATATCCTTCATTCTTATATCCTTTCTTATATCCTTATATTCTTACATCCTTACATCCTTACATCCTTATATCCTTTCATTCTACTATTCTTTCTTAAATCCTTTCATTCTGATGCACTTTCTTATATCCTTTCATTCTTACATCCTTTCATTCTGATACACTTTCTTATATCCTTTCATTCTTACATCCTTTCATTCTTATATCTTTACTTAAATCCTTTCATGTTTATATACTTTTTTATATCCTTTCATTCTTATATCCTTTAATTCTTACATTCTTACATCCTTTCATCCTTACATCTTTTCATCCTTACATCCTTCATTCTTATATCCTTTCCAGTTTCCTTTATCCTTCCATTCTTAAATCCTTTCATTATTTCTTATATCCTTACATTCTTATACCCTTTCTTTCTGATATCCTTTCATACTTACATCCTTTCATTATTTCTTATATCTTTTCATTCTTATATCCTTTCTTTCTGATATCCTTTTTCTTACATCCTTTCATTATTTCTTATATCTTTTCATTCTTATATCCTTTCTTACATCCTTTCATTATTTCTTATATCTTTTCATTCTTATATCCTTTCTTTCTGATATCCTTTTATTCTTATATCCATTCATTCTTATCCTTTCATTCTGATATCCTTTCCTTCTGATATCCTTTCATTCTTATATCCTTTCATTCTTATATCCTTTCATTCTTTTATCATTTCATTCTTTTCCCTTTCATTATGTTATCCTTTCAATCTTTTACCCTTTCATTCGTATATCTTTTCAATCTTATACCCTTTCATTCTTAAATCCTTAATTCTTGTATTCTTTCATTCTTATTTCCTCTCATTCTTATATTCTTTCATACTTATTTCCTTTCATACTTAAATCCTTTCAAACTTATATCCTTTTATTCTTTTATCCTTTCATTCTGATATCCTTTCAGTCTTTCATCCTTTTATTTTATCTTTTCATTCTTTTATCCTTTCATTCTTATATCCTTTCATTCTTGTTTCCTTTCATTTTTGTTTCCTTTCATTCTTGTTTCCTTTCATTCTTATTTACTTTCATTCCTGTATTCTTTTATCCGTGTATCCTTTCTTTCTGATCCTCCTTCATTCTAGTATCCTTTCACTATTGTATCCTTTTATTCTTTTTTTCTTCCATTCTGTAATTCATTCTTATATCCTTTCATTCTTGTATCCTTTTATTCTAGAATCCTTTCAGTCTTATATCCAGTGCTTAGGATCCATTTATTTTTAATGCGGATAATTTAAATTTTTTTAACAAAGCAGAGTTTACAAATTTTTTTCTTTTTTCGCTTATTTTTATGATAAAACTTAATGAACCATTCAGAAATAAGGAAATTTTCAATATTTCAGATTTGGGTTTTTAGAGTAAATTTTTTTTTAAAGTATTTGGTTGATTTTTGCCCCTTGGATCCGGATCCAGAAAGCCATAATCTCGCGGATCCAACGGATCCGGATCCTAAGCACTGCTTATATCCTGTCATACTTTCATTCTATGCTGTTATTCTATCAAACTTTTACCCTTTCATTTCTTATATCACTTATATCCTTTCATTCTTACATCCTTGCATTCCTATTGTAACATTTAATCCCTTGATATCGTTACAATCCCAGACATAAATCCAAGGGAAATCAAGATCAATCGTTGCCCCCCCCATCTTTGAGGGTTAATGCAAGACTTCACTTTCATTCCCAGTACCAGTTCATAATTCACCCAAACCTCTCTTCTTATGTATAATATCTATCTCTCAAGGTCTTGAATAAGTGGGTGGTTTAACATGACACATTTTATTGGTACAAATATATCTGTTAATATCTATTTATATTAAATCATATTCCATATATTTGTGGAGTCCCTCAGCGGTAAAGCAAGCCTCCACTAACTCTTATATGAGGAAGAGTCCCTCAGCAGTGAAGCAAGTCTCCCCTAACTCGTATATATGAAGAGTCCCTCAGCGGTTAAGCAAGTCTCCACTAACTCCTATATAGGAAGAGTCCCTCAGTGGTTAAGCAAGTCTCCACTGACTCTTATATATGGAGAGTCCCTCAGTGGTTAGGCAAGTCCCCACTGGCCCTTATGTAGGAAGAGTCCCTCGGTAGTTCATCTGAGCCTCTGTTCCCTACTGGGCTAGACGTGGTCTCAGCTGATCCTTCTATAGATAATAAAACTGGTGATCTCCTGATCAATCCTAGCTATCTATCAATCTGCTACAGACCTATGATCTTCTCCTGTGATACTTGTAACTGGTGATTCATGATCATCCTAGTTCTCTGTCAATCTGCTGTAGATCTATGATCTCATACTTGCAGTTCTCCTGTGATTCATATAGCTGGTGATCTTTGTGATCCACCCTAGCTCTCTATCAATCTGCTCTGGATCTCTAGTCTCCACAGTATCTGCAACTTACACAGTATCTGCAGTATCCACAATATCTGCAGTATCTACAATATCTGCAGTATCCTTCATATCTGCAATATCTGCAGTATACACATTATCTGTAGTCTGTTCTGCATCTCTGTTGATCTACTGTCTGCTCTATATCTCTGTGATCTGTTGGATGCTCTGCATCTCGATTGATCTCCCATCTACTTGATATCTCCTTGGTCTGTAGGATGCTCTGCATCTCGGTTGATCTCCCATCTATTTGATATCTCCTTGATCTGTAGGATGCTCTGCATCTCGGTTGATCTCCCATCTACTTGATATCTCCTTGATCTGCAGGATGCTCTGCATCTCGGTTGATCTCCCATCTACTTAATATCTCCTTGATCTGTTGGATGCTCCGCATCTCTGTTGATCTCCCATCTAATTGTTATCTCCTTGATCTGTAGGATGCTCTGCATCTCGGTTGATCTCCCATCTACTTGATAGATCCTCATGATCTCCTTTCACCTGGATTCATTGGCCTGTATTATCTTCTGAGTCCACAGTGTTTCTAACCATAGAAACACCTGGAATATTAGAGGGTTTAGGGAGTTGAACCAGCTGTATAGAGGTGGAACTACATTGCTCTGATTCTGTTATCCATTCTATAGTTCCAGCAATCCTCGGAGCCTCTAGTGTTTCTAACCATAAGAACACCTGGGATATTAGAGTGTGTAGGTAGTTGAACCAGCTGTATAGAGGTGGAACTACATTGCTCTGATCCCATTGTCTGCTCTATAGCTCCAGTGTTTCTGACCATAGAAACATCTGGAGTATTAGAGTGTGTGGGTAGTTGAACCAGCTGTACTGAGGTGGAACCACATATCTCTGATTCTACTGTAAACCTGAGATATCTATCTAATCAATGGTTTATTCCTCTGATCTGTTGTAACTTGAGATATCTGTCTCATCAATGGTTTGTTCCTCTGATCTGTTGTAACTTGAGATATCTGTCTCATCAATGGTTTGTTCCTCTGATCTGTTGTAACCGGAGATATCTGTCTCATCAATGGTTTATTGTATTCCTGAAGATATGATCATGTAGATATAATCATGTAAGTCCACATGCTGTAAGCCTTCTGAGAGCTGTCCATGAAGTGCCCGTCCCCTAGCCTTTGGTTGAACAAACGGAGCTTAACTCATACGTCTGTTCGGTTCAAAGGTCTAGGGTGCACTGTTGAATCTTAATGAATCAGTTCAGGTTAACTACTCCGCATTCATTAAAAGAACAAAGAGATAAAGGTGTGAGGCTGGGGGAGGTTTTTAGCATGAGTCACCTATACTTTAAATATTACACTATGTTTTTTTATTTTTGTATCCTTTCTTTCATATACTCTTTCATTCTTGTATCCTTTCATTTTAGTATCCTTTCATTCCTTTTTTTCTTTCATTCATTCAAAACAGATTAATAGATGCTCGAAACTCAAACCCTTTAAATTTGATATATTCAAATTCAATCATTAAAATATATTATTCGTATATTCATTTATTACTGATGCTGGTAACCTGACAGGGTGTACATTTTTCACAAATAAACTTTATTCAATTTGTAAAACTGAAAACCATATTATTTTAATTCAATTTATTTATAAGTGAACTGAGGATGCTGAAAATTCAAGCTTTGACAATTGTTTTCATTAATGCTGTTCTATATTTATTACTCAGATTCTTTTTTTAATACAAAGATGTATATTTTCTCAAATCAATTTTCCTCCAACCCCCCTCCTTGCTAAAAATCATATTTTTTCAGAAATGTTTAAATGAAAGTTTGATTTTTTCGCGCTGAATTGTGAAAATTGAATGGTTTCAAGGGAAATAAATGAACTTTTGGTAAAAAGCATCGAAAAAAATGAAAACTTGCCTTTTGATGTCCAATTTTTTGCTTTTNAAAAATATGAACCCCCAGTTAAATATTTATTCAGTCCTCTCCTGAATAGAATTTTTCAAAGATTTTGAAAATTTTGAATAATTTTGTTTGCAGGTCCACAGCATATTCGGTCGACGATGTACACTGTCCCCGACACACCGGACATGAAGAAGCAGACCGGAGTTCCATTCGGCCTCGTCATCAGTCCTCTGGCGGATACACAAGACGGCGAATATCCACCCCCGATAGTTAATCTTGGGGAGCTAGGTAGGATTCCTATTTTCATGGATTTTTCATGGAGAAAAAATTTCAACGCCCCTTTTAAGGGGGGGGGGGGCACGAAACGTATTACTCTCCGGGAAATTAAACAGTGTTCAAACATAACTGAGCATCGTCGTAGGAGACTGATTTTTTTTGCATACGAACTTAAAATTATGGATATTGCATGCTTTTATTTGGTTTTGAACGGATCTGAGCAAGTGTGTGCGCGCGCGCTTTTAGTGAAAGATACGGCTTTTCTGACAGTAAATCAATCTTAACTTCATTAATTGCACTTAAACATTTATCCTAACCATCTTTAAACAAATAAGCGCTCAAAACACTAAACTCCACTGCCAAAAAGCCTTTAATTTTTGCGCGCGCGCGCAAATAAAATAAAATATCTTTGAATACTTATGTGCTAAGTTTGGCCTAAGTAGCATGAGATACATCAAACTATAGCGACATTGGAGCATCCTGACTGGCGCGCTAGTAGCCAGTCATTACATTATGGGTCACCTTAGCACAGATGATGTATGATGTATGTTCTCTGTCGTGGAAATAAGGAGATTCAATATTTGAACCAATATTGACTCACGTTTTGATATAAATCACGTGTCTGTTACGTCTTGTTATGAAATCCTCCGAATTGCGCAGTATTGGTTTCTAAAACTTGTAAGGTTTCATTATTTTCCAAATCCAAGGAGATCACGTTTTCTCTTCTTGGTGAAAATTTTAATTAAAACTTGTATTAAATTTTAACTTCTCATCTATGTTAATTAAACCTCTGTGCTTATATTTTTGTATATACTTACATGCTTACATATTTAGGACCGGTTCGTTGTACAAGATGTAAAGCGTACATGTGTCCTTTTATGGTGTTCACTGATGGTGGAAAGCGGTTTGCCTGTGTGTTTTGTAAAGCTACCACTGAAGTTCCACAGGTTTATTAAGTTTATTATTCTTCTTTCCTTACATTTCACTTCTTTATGTTTTTATTTTAACACTTATACTTTTTTTTAATTTATTATTTTTAATTTTTTATTCTTTATTTATATTCATAGTTGGTTGCTTTTTTATCTGAATGACATTGTCGCCTTTCTCTTGAGTATTTATTACAATTTCCTTCATTGTCTTACCAATACCATAAATCTGCAATTCACTTTCTCAGAGAATCCACGATGGAAAATAATCTATTCAGAGCTGGGAACTTTTGAATGGTGGATTTCGGGATAAATGCTTGATTCGCTCTTTCTCTTAATCTCGAGATTAAATAATGCTTGTTCTCCCTTTGTTACTAATATCCAGAGCTGAAGACTTTTGAATGGGATATCCTTAATCCCGATCAGTTAATTAATCTGGAGATTAATATTAGAGGAGAACAATCATTATTCAATCTGGTGATTAAGAAAAAGAGGAGATCAAGCATTAATTTCGATATCCACCATTCTAAAGTTTTCATCTCTGATTAATTAACCGATAGGGATTAAAGATATCCCATTCTAAAGTTTTCGCCTCTTGTAATCAAATATGCCACTTTGTAAATGGAGGGTTACAGTGCTTTTTAAGAAAACTGAATAATTATTATTATTTATCTTGCAGGAATATTTCCAACACTTGGATCACACCGGACAAAGGATGGGTTAGTATCCTACTTTTTACAAGTTAACTGTAGTGTACATTTTACATTCCTGCAAGATAAATAATTATTATTATTTATCTTGCAGGAATATTTCCAACACTTGGATCATACCGGACAAAGGATGGGTTAGTATCCTACATTTTACACAATAAGCAGGGATATCACTGTTCATTGTTCAGTATACAATTAATTTTGAATCTTTCCGCACCCAGTTAATAAATATTGTTTAAACGTTTATATAAACTTCTTTGATTAAAGCAAGTTTAAACAAGTTTTTCCGTCTTTTAGAAAAGCTTTAAGTTTATGAACGGTCAACATTGAGATCTAACTGATTATCTTAGAGATTTTTTTACATACATATTTTGCCATTAAAATATTGGAGATCCCAGAGATTGAAGTTCCAATATTTATTCTATTTTTGTGCAGATAAGAATGAGAGACCTGAACTGTGTTTGGGAACTTATGAGATAATTGCCACCAAGGATTATTGCAGGTTTGTAAAAATGTATAAACTCAAAATAAAGAGATTACTTTCCTAAGTCGAAAGTAGAGTTAAACTTAAAAGGAACTATAAGAGTTAGTTGCGCTACTGCAGGAAGCAAATAGGAATTATTAGAATTAAACACTTTTTAACTTTGAAAAACGACAATATTTTTCGCATGATTGATCAGATAACGATTTAAAGGGTACCGTTGTGAATATCGCACTTCCATCTTTGCATGGGGGGTCACTTGAAATTATGCTTACAGTCCCTATATAGTTAATATATATAATTATACTAATAGGAACAATTTCAACCATTTATTTTAAACCAACGGCTAATTTATTAAATAAATAAATAAAATTATGATGTATTAAGGGATTCTAAGCCCCCTAAACCTCCTGGCATCCTATTTGCTATTGATGTATCCTATCCAATGATGAAGGAAGGAATTGTTCACCTAATCTGCCAAAATATGAAGGTAACAAAACCATATCTTTGTTCTCATCAGTGTTATATTTTTTCTTGAAAAATCATTTTATTTCTGCACACATGAATGTAGGACCACTATTAAAAATCATTTTATTTCTGCACTCATGAATAAAGGACCACTATTAAAAATCATTTTATTTCTGCACTCATGAATGAAGGACCACTATTAAAAATCATTTTATTTCTGCACTCATGAATGAAGGACCACTAATAAAAATCATTTCGTTTCCCCGAATGTGAATTATGTTTGCGTGATATTTTCTTAAGATCTTGTTCGATGATTAATTTTTTTTTTGGGGGGGGGGTGTGAGTGTTATTAATGAATTTTTTGGGACAAGTATCAAAATGGTGATAAAAAACTTGAACATGATATCCAATTTCAAAATTTGTTTCTCAAGCATCGAAAATCAAAAAAACTGCAATTATTACAATATTTTCCACTGTTCTTTTAAATGTAGAATGTAGATAAATGTTGGGAGAAACAGGAAAGTTTTATATTTAATATGAAACTTGAAGATCTAATTGGGAAATAAGGAAAACTGAAATTAATTTAACATCAAGGAAAACTTGAAATTTAATGAATTTTATATTAAATATTTAAATTTAATGGGTTAAACAATATGACATTAATAATTAGTTCTTACTGAATTTCATCTTCCCAATTTGAAACATATTTTTAGGAAATCGATTCTGTTTTTTATTGATATATTATACTTAAGGGCTAAACCTGAACCAGGGGTGTATATTTTCTCCAAAAATTATTTTCTTCCCCCTTTATTTATCATTTTTATTTCCCCATAAGTTATAAATGTTTTTAAAGGTTCAAAAAACTTGGGGGATGGGGGAAAATGATTGAATTATTATTCGTAAGAATACTCATTAATTAAATTATGTCGACTGTTCCTTTAACCCTTGAAATTTTAGGAAATCCTACGTGGGTTACCAGTTGATAGTGCTGCTGGATATTCTAAATCCAACATGAAGGTAAGACTTCTCAAACTTTCTTATATTAGATACATTTTAGCCTATGGTTGGGTTTTTTTTGCGCATTCATGGCTAATTTTTTTCATTGCTTATTTTTTTCAAACACTTGTACACATTGAAAAAGTATAATAATCTTGAAATAAATTAGGTTTTGATAATTCCACAGAAAATGGAGGGAAAATTCTGGATCCTATTTTTCCCTTTCAGTTAGTTTTTCTTTCTCTTCCTAGTGTACATGAGGTTTTATTGTTAACTAGTGTACAATATACAGTCTACAAACAATGTACAGTGCACAATGTACTGTGTACAATGTACTGTGTACAATGTACTGTGTACAATGTACTGTGTACAATGTACTGTGTACAATGTACAGTGTACAATGTACAGTGTACAATGTACAGTGTACAATGTACAGTGTACAATGTACAGTGTACAATGTACAGTGTACAATGTACAGTGTACAATGTATGTGTACAATGTACTGTGTACAATGTACTGTGTACAATGTACTGTGTACAATGTACTGTGTACAATGTACTGTGTACAATGTACTGTGTACAATGCACTGTGTACAATGCACTGTGTACACTGTACAATGTACTGTGTACAATTTACAATGTACAATGTACTGTGTACTGTGTACAATGTACAATGTACAATGAACTGTGTACAATGTACAATGTACAGTGTACATCAAGGTTCCAAATGCCTAGGTTGGGTTTATGACGTATGACCGTAGTATAAACTTCTACAACATAAATCCTCTTCTAGCTCAGCCTCAGCAGATGACAGTAGGAGACGTAGAGGTATTAACATTATTTTCACTTCATTCATTTTTTCTAAAGAACTATTTAATTCAATTTATGCTGAACTGTATTCTAGCAAAGAATTTACACGATGAGTATTAGTTTTCATTGTTACATGGATACAATTTAAGTTCACTGTATTGTACTGTACTGCACTGAACTGTACTGTACTGCGTTGTACTGTACTGTACTGGAATGTACTGTACTGTACTGTACTGAACTGTACTGTGTACTGCACTGCACTGCACTGCACTGCACTGCACTGCACTGCACTGCACTGCACTGCACTGCACTGCACTGCACTGCACTGCACTGCACTGTACTGCTGCACTGTACTGTACTGTACTGTATTCTAGGATATGTTTGTACCAATGGCCGAGGGTTTGATGGTTGACATCACTGAATCTGAGGCGATCATTGATAGTTTAATGGAGCAGTTACCTACACTCTTCTCAGAGACTAGAGAAACTGAAACTATTCTTGGACCAGTCATACAGGTATTAGAACTATATCTATAGATATATAGCTATAAAGATAAATACAAATATATCTATATATTGTTGATGATTTGGGAAATAGAAAATTATACATCATTAGGCAAGTTTTTTTCATTCTTAAAAAGTGCATATTATCTTGTTATTTTTTAAAATAATATTATCTTATAAACAAATATTGTAAACAAAGATCACAATTTTCCTCGGCGCCGTTAAGAAGAAATAAAACCTTTTTCTTTCAAATTCTTTTTGACTTTGTCTCATTTCGGTTTTATCTGTCAGAGTTGGCGAATTTCTTCTTCTCTTGAACAGTTTTTTTAATGTTTTTTCAACGTTTTGTTTTATAGTTATATTTTTGTTTTTCTTTCAGAGATGACAGAAAGTGCCTTGGAACTGACAGAGAAAAAACTGTTCTTGCGCCGCAGAATAAGTTCTACAATGATTTAGGTATTTATAATATATATATTTATCTGTAATGTACTGACACCGTAGTGCAGTGTTAGAATCCATTTCATTTTGATCCAGATTCAGAATCCACCATCCCCCCACAGAAAAAAAAATGGATTTGGAACCGGGCATGAACATTTCTTCAAGATTTCGGATTTTAACAACAATTTAAATATGGTTTAAACATTTTCAATTAGGGAACCGTTGAGATTTGTTTTTTGAGAGAGAAAAATTATTTTTTTAGAAAGTTTTGGTTGGTCTTTTTGACCCTTGCATCCATATCATGAGCACCGGAATGTGCTATACTGTGCTTTTTTACTGTAATACAGTGAACTGTACTGCTTTGTACTCATCGAATCCCAAAATTTCAACTAAAATGCTTTTTTTTGTAAACTTTCTTCAAAATAAGTTCCAGAAGCTTGAAAAAGGGGCCACTAACTGTCTGAATGTTTTAAAGTCCGATACCTTAAGATATTTTGGAAGAATAAAATAAATAATGTGAAAAATATGCAGGCCAAGAATGTGTAACTGTGGGTTGCTCTGTGGATCTTTTCCTTTTTAACAACGCATACATCGATATAGCTACGCTCAGTCAGGTACTTACAAGTTTATCCTTCAGTTGAAGAGATACAATTCACAACAATACCTTATATTTTTATTTATTTATAGATTTGTTATTCATGAAGTTGTCGAGTGATTGATTTGTTGATTGATTTATTAATTGATTGATTTGATTGATTGATTGGTTAATTTATTGATTCGTTATTTCGCTACTGTTTGTTTTTTACATTGATATAAGTGTTGATTTATTGATTGACTATATTTCAGGTTTGTCGGTTGACCGGAGGGCAGGTTTATAAATACACATACTTTCAATCCGACCTGGACGGAGAGAGATTCATCTCCGATCTTGCTCACAATATTTCAAGGTAGGAACACAGCAAGGGATTGTTTACAGATTGTTCACAGATGTTGAAGTTACCAGTTAATGAAACAAGGATATTAATCCAATGCTTTTCTATCATTTTCTGTGTATGATCCAGTATCTTTAGAATCTGTGACTCGTGTATTCAACAGTTAAGAGCTTTCAAATTTTGAACCAACAAAGAAATTTTTTCTGAAAATTCGTAAAGTAGTTTTTAAGTTGTCTTTCTTCCAACTAAAATCAGCATATTTTTTAATAAGGTATTCAAAGAAATATTTAGCTCCAAACCTGTCATAATCAATTGAAAATACATATATGTTGGTTACAGTATTTTTTTATACCTTCAATTTATTAGAGAAACTTGTGTCCTACTCATCCCTTCTTATTTATTTTTATTTTAAAGAATATTTTGAATATTTAGAACGGTTGTGTTTGACGCTATAATGCGAGTACGAACTAGTACCGGAGTAAGACCTACGGATTTCTACGGAGCCTTCTTCATGGCAAATACAACTGATATGGAGCTTGCCAGGTTAACAAATAATATAAGTCACCCTTTATGGATTGATGGCAAAGTCCGATTCAAAACGGAACCCTAGAAAACTTTGTCTGATCTATTATGCAGTAGGTTGGAAGTGTTGGAAGTGCTAGAGGAAGCATTTTGACATTTCAGATTTTTTATTATTATTTTCCATCATGATTTCTTAATAAACAAACCTCGCTTATTTTTAATAAATTTTTTAAATTTAGCGTGAATGCTGATTCAGCTCTAACAGTCGAGATTAAACATGATGATAAAATAACAGATGAAGATGGAGTTTATATACAGGTGACGTAATACAAAATGATTGTATAACATGGAACCCCAGCTTTGCATGGAGATCTTGGAATTTATGAGTGATGATTGGACACACAAACAGACAGACAAACGAATTTTACTACCCTTTATATTTATACACCCCATTGTATTAATATAATGGGGAGTATTAAAAAAAGAAAGAAAACTTGCCTTTTGGTTTATTACAATTATTCAATTTTTTGATTGATAAATATTGTTTAGATGCAACTGGATAATATTTTGATGATTCGATTGATTGATTATGGTTGAGGGGTTGATTGTATTTTATAAATATTGTCTAGGGTGTCCTACTATACACTAGTGCATCTGGATAATAGTTAGCGATTGATTGAATGATTCATTGGTTGATTGATTGAAAAAAATTGTATTGGGTGCCCTGTTATACACCCAGTGTATCTGTATAATGATGGATTGATTATAATTGGTTGATTGATTGTCGGTCTGTCTTGGGTGCCCTACTAAACACCAGTGTATCTGGATAATAATTGATTGATCATTTCTGATTGATTGATTGTCTAGGGTGCCCTACTATACACCAGTGTATCTGGATAATGATTGATTGATTGATTGTCTAGGGTGCCCTACTATACACCAGTGTATCTGGACAGCGTAGATTAAGAATAATAAATCTAAGTTTGAACGTGAGCGACAACATGGGGGAATTATATAGGTAAACTTATTTTCTAACCTAAAACTATTCAAATAATGTGATCCAAGTATCCGAATTGAGACCATAACACAGTGCTTATGATCCGGATTCGTTGGTTCCGTATCATTTTGGCTTTCTGGATCCGGATCCTAGGGCAAAAAACTGTTCAAGCTTAACTTTTGCTTTCAAAATACAAATTTCTATTCTTGAAGAATGAGAGATTATTAGAAACTTTCCATATCTCTTAACATAAAAATAAGCAAAATAAAAAAGAGCCAAAAATTTGAAATTTTTTATTAAAAAAATAGTTACTCTTAAAGAGATTTGATCACCTGGATCCGGATCCATTTTTTATCAGGATGGGGTATTAAATGAATCCTAAGCACTGTCATGAATCAAGACAAAAATATATTTTCTGACGATTTGTCTTTTTTGTTGTTTGACTTAATGTCTGTATTTACAATGACAAAACCTAGCAGCCTCATGAGAAAACCAGTGGCCGAATTTAAAGAATTTGAGCGGCGGTTTAAATTTAAGCCGCAGTTTAAATATGGTTGGTTCCACTTAAAATTGTATCAAATGTTTCATGATTTAAGCCGGCGCTTAATTTAAACCGGGTTTTGGCGGATTTAAACCGCGGCTCAAATTCTTTAAATTCCATCTCAGTTTTACTTAATGTTCTTATTTCTTTTTGTTTTGCTGGTTTTTTTCACTTTTATCCTAATCTGTTTTTTTATTGTACTCCTACTATTTTTTCACTTAAATCCTATTCTGTTTTTTTTTACTTTAATCCTAATCTGTTTTTTTTTCACTTTAATCCTAATCTGATTCAAAGACTCCTATTTTTTTATCAAATGCGCCTTGAAAAGTTTAAAAAAGTCTACGGGAAATTAGGGGAAATAGTTCTGGTATTGGTTGTTTATTTTAAATGACACACTGGAATTTCTTTCCAAAATATTAAATGAATTTTGCAGAAGTTCTTAATGATTGAAATCATCCTTGATGGCACACTGCTGAAAATGAACCATCAGGATCCAAGTCAAAACGCCTAATTTTTTTCTCCGGTTTATATTAATATGCAGGCTTCTGAGTTATAATCTAAATTTTCAGAAAATGCTACCTAAGAAATTTTAATTAAATCCATTTTAAAGAAATTGAAGAAATAAAAAAAAAAACTTTTTCGGGTCGCATTTTGACAGTGAGGCAGTTTACTTAGGGGGTTGAATTTTTGCTACAATAAGTTTCATGACTGTTTAAGAAAAATGAAAAAATTTGGAGACCATGTCGTATACTGTTAAATATCGTCAAGAAACCTAGAAGGAGCAGATTCAAGTCGTGAAATGAAATTTTTGTTTAATTCAAGACCCGTGAATGCACTTAATTTTTTTAAAAATTGATTTGCTGAAAATTCCCTGGGTGGCATTTTCTGAAAATTGGGAATATAACTCAGCAGCCTGCACATAAACATAATCCAAATAAAAAGGTTAGGTGTTTTGACTTGAAAGTGTGATGTATTGTAAATATATAGAATTCAGTCTTGATGGATTGTAAATATATAGAATTCAGTCTTGTAAATATTTAATAAACACATGGGTTCAATGTTCAATGTTCTGACAAATGATAAGTAAATTGTCACGCTTCAAATCTCATTGTAAATAATCAAATTTTCAATTAATTTTATTGTTTGTATGTCCGGGTATAGAATTAAAGGAACTGAACGCGTAATTTCAACTAACTTGTCATACTTGATTCATAGCAGTACTTGTGAGTATTTGTGAGACTATGTACTAATTAGATATCAATGTTTAGAGTTTTGAAAAATGATAACTTTCAGTTGTATTTTTTCCACCGAAGGAAAATATACAGGAATTTAATTATAAAACAGTTTAAAGGGTACCGTTGTAAATCGGTCCTTATCATCTTTCTTTTCATGGACGGTCACTTGTAATTACGCTTAATATCCCTTTAATCTTCCATTTAAAAAAAGATTTTCTCGGCAAAATTCGTCGATGTCCAAAGTTCATGAAAAATGTCTTAGCATTTGCGTTAAAGTCAAGTTTTTGTTGCTAGCTGAATTCATAATTTAATTTATACGGTTTGAAAGATGAGAAACTAGAAATTTAATTTTGTGGCGAAGTTCAATTTCTTTGTTAAAGCTAAACCCGGTGACATTTTTTTCTACTTTGTGAAACATTCAGAAGTTAATGTATTATATTTGGCTAGGAACTGTGATTTGGATACAGTCGTCAACTTTCTCGCCAAACAGAATATTTCCAAGTAAGTTTTCTTTTCCCTATATTTCTAGCCAATCAGAATCAGGGGGCGGAAACGTCATGTGTGTGTGTCGGTACCAAAAGTGTGTGTGTAAGGAAGGTACCAAAAGTGTGTGTGTAAGGAATACCGAACCGAAGGCGTTTACTGTAGGTATATACAGTACATAAGAATCTCGGTAATTGTACAGTCTAGGAGAGTACATTTGTTTATTGTTAATTATTTACTTAAAAATAAGTTTAATATACATGTAATATATTATTTAAATATTTAAGTCAACACTGTAAGCCAAATTTCCATGCAAAGAATATAATTTCATTAAAGCTTACAATAAACTACTCGTTATTCAAGCTTAATTATAATTAACGACATTGTTCTGCAATTTCCTTGACTAATCATGTTGTACGAAAAGAGTGTGCGTGTGTTATACAGAACTCGTCTGCAAAGCATTTCCATTTATTCCTATTCCCAGATCAGAATATATTCGAATAAGTTATATATTCTCTAGAAAATGCCCCTCCCATTTTAAAGGGAGAGGTTGCAAAAAAATAAAGGGGGTATATGTTAATCCCGAATTGAATTCGGATTTGATCTCTTTTAAGTTTACCTGTACCCGTTGCATAGGGAGTGTATATTTTATATTCCTATAGTTTTCAAATATGATTTCAAGGATGCAGAGGGCCCCCCCCCCCCCCTCTTAAGCTGCCAATTTTTTCAGAAGCAATTCTGAGTTGAAACAATTTTTCGAAGTGTCTTCTTTACACAAATATTATATATTTTTGATAAATTTTTTTAAAAATATAATTTTAATATCAAGGCTGATGGAGAGTAACCCTAAAGCAGTAAAGGAATCCCTAATGCAGCAGTGTGCCCAGATCTTGGCTTGCTACAGGAAAAACTGTGCGTCCCCCAGTTCTGCAGGTTTCCTCTCTTTAATTTTCATATACTTTCCTCTTAAAATATTTACTTTCTTCGTTTTTTCTTTTCTTGTCGTACTTTCCTTGTCTTGCTTGTCCATATCTTTTATTTTATATGTCATCCTTTTTTATATTTATACTTTTCCTATTTATATCTATCCTTTTTTTTATGTCCATCCTTTCCCTTTTTATATCTATCCTTTCTTTATTTTTATCTTTCCTTTCTTTATTTTATCTATACTTTTGCTATTTATATCTATCCTTTCCCTTTTAATATCCATCCTTTCTTTATTTATATCCATACGTTTGCTTTTTATATCTATCCTTTTCTTATATATTTTTACATATTATATTTTATAATAAATGTTTACTTTTTCTATCTGAATTGACAGATTTACTGATTGATCAAGATTAAGATATTGATTGATTGATTGATTGATTGATTGCTTACAGGGCAGTTAATCCTCCCTGAGTGCATGAAGCTGCTACCCCTGTACACCAACTGCCTGCTCAAGTCCGACGCTATTTCCGGGGGAACAGACCTCGGATGCGACGACAGAGCATTCGCCATGTCAGCTGTCAGCAGTATGGACGTGGCTTCAAGTGTTGTTTACTTTTACCCCAGGTGCAGTACTCTTTGTTTACTTTTACCTTAGGTGCGGTACACTTTGTTTGCTTTTACCCCAGGTGCGGTACACTTTGTTTACTTTTACCCCAAATGCAGTACACTTTGTTTACTTTTATCCAAGGTGTGGTACATTTTGTTTATTTTTACCCCAGGTGCAGTACACTTCGTTTATTTTACCCCAGGTGGAGTAGACTTTGTTTACTTTACCCCAGGTGCAGTACACTTTGTTTACTTTACCCCAGGTGGAGTACACTTTGTTTAAGATTACCCAGGTGCAGTACACTGTGTTTACATACACCACATGTGCAGTACACTTTGTAAACTTTAACGCCAGGTGCAGTACACTTCGTTTACTTATACCCCAGGTAAATGTGATAACACTTTGTTTTTACATTTAACGAGGGGTCAACAAGATTTTTCCTTGAACCCAGCTTTTTTTCAACTTATTGTTTTTTTTTGTGTTCCTCTTAAAAAAATAAATTTATAAAATCAATCATAAACCCCAAAAGATTTTCGAACATTTGTGTTCTGATGATGAAGAATATTATTATTATTCACCCTGGAAGCCTATAATGAAAATTATTAAGAAGTGAAACGCTCCAAAAAGGAAAAAAAAACTTTTTAGCTTTTTTACGACTGACGTCACTAAAAATCTTGTATGCATTAATATGTTAAATCATAAATGTTGAAGAAAGTAAATTTTTATCATCAATTTGGAGAATTTTACATTTAAGGAAAATTAGGTTTTTTCACCGGAACAAAATTTGCAACTTATGACCTTTAAAACTCAGTTTTCCGGAACATTAGAAATAAATGTCTCAGGAGAATTTTTATGCATTTCATAATTACAAGATTACAAAGAGTTTTTTTTACAGGAATACATGGTCGTTGAAATGTTCGCGCGTTAATATTTTATGTTATGGATTTTCAAACTTGAAAAAAATTCATCAGATTTTTCTAATTTTTAAAAATATTTTTCGACTAGATTGATTCCTCTTCATGAATTGAACACAGAAGAAGATGATGTTCCGAAACAGATACGGTGCACCATAGAGAAGGTATAGATAGAATTTTATAGATAGTAATTTAAGTAAACCATAGAGATTAGAGAAGGTATAGAAGTAGTAAATATAGTACACCATCAGAAGGTAAAGATAAAGTAGTAAATTCAGTAATACACCATAGAGAAGGCATAGATAGAGTAGTAACTTCAGTACACCATAGAGAAGGTATAGCAGTAGTAAATATAGTACACCATAGAGACGGTATAGATAGAGTAGTTAATTCATTATACTTTAGAGAAGGTATAATTAGAGTAGTAAATAGAGCACATCATAGAGAAGGTATAGAGTAGTAAATATAGAACACCATAGAGAAGGTATAGATAAAGTAGTAATTTCAGTAACCCATAGAGAAGGTATAGATAAAAGTAGTCAATTCAGTGCACCATAAAGAAGTAAAAAAAGTATAGAGGAGTAAATATAGAACACATAGAGACGGTACAGATAGAATAGTAAATTTATTATGTCATAGAGAAGTTATAAGTAGAGTAGTAAATTAAGTACACCATCATAGAGAAGGTGTATTAAATGCAGCACATTAAGGAGAAGCCATAACTAGAGAAGTAAATTCAACAAACCGCAGAATTACTAGAGCAGCTGATTCAAAGCACCGCGCGCACCATATGGCAAATATACAGCAGTAAAATTGAATACCTTGTGGAGCTTAGGATGATTTTATTAAATAAAAAATGTTTAATTGACCACCTTTCTAGTACCATAAATATGTGGTAGGTCGTCTTCTGACAAAACATTCATAGACATAAATCAAACTGTTTCAGGTTAAAGATGATGGAGTTTATCTACTGGAGAATGGAATACATATGTTGATGTTTGTCGGGCTAGCAACTAACCCCTCTTGGATACAGGTACACCTCTCCCCCTCCCTATATCCTTTATTCCGCAGAGGTCGTAAATCAAGCCATCTTGGATACAGGTACACCTCTCCCCCTCCCTACACCATCATCTTTATTCCGCAGAGGTCGGAACTCGAAGACATCTTGGATACAGGTACACCTCTCCCCCTCCCTACACCACCATCTTTATTCCACAGAGGTCGGAACTCAAGCCAGTCCTGCAAAATGTGATTTTATAATTCCTTTAAAACCTTTAATCCATATCTTTGATAATTCAACAATGAACTTCGTTCCTTCTCGACATTTTTAATTGTCAATAGATTCCGGTTGTCTTACTCGAATTACTGCTGAAAGGAAATCTTCATTGAAAAGAGGACAGTTAAAAAACTTTAAGAATTCTGCGAACAAATTTATAAAGAACAAGAATTTCGATTAAGTGATGAAAAGGAAATAATTTATTCTAACATTTTATTGAGAAATGTGTTCCTAAACATATAATTAGTTTACTGTAGAGTTTTTGTTCCATTTTTCGTCGTCGTTATTGGATAATTTTCAAAAAACCCATTCTCAAAATTATCCTTTCAACATGAACATTCAAGAAGGATTTTAAAGATTGAATTTGCGCTCTTGCTGAACAAATATGCACCGTAAAAACGTCCGATAGGTCTCGAATGAGTCCTTAAAAAATCTTATGTTTTCATTCTTTTATCATATTGTAATATTTGTCGTTTTTTTATTAACTCGATTTTTGTTATATCCCTGCTCTCTAGATTAAATCCCTGCTCTCTAGATTATATCCCTGCTCTCTAGATTATATCCCTGCTCTCTAGATTATATCCCTGCTCTCTAGATTATATCCCCTCCTCTCTAGATTACATCCCCCCTCTCTAGATTATATCCCTCCTCTCGATTATATCCCTCCTCTCTAGATTATATCCCTCCTCTCTAGATTATATCCCTCCTCTCTAGATTACATCCCCCCTCTCTAGATTCTCGATTATATCCCTCCTCTCTAGATTATATCCCTCCTCTCTAGATTATATCCCTCCTCTCTAGATTATATCCCTCCTCTTTAGATCATGTCCCCCCGAGCTAGTTAATTAACTTTAATCCCCTCTTATGCAAGATGCTAATTCCCTTTTTTAATATTTAGTTAATTTTCCTTGATAGTTTTTTTGTCCTCCTAATACAGTTTTATTTGATATTTAATAAACAAATTCTTTAAGTTACTATTATTGAGAATATTTGTTATGGATATTTGATCTAATTCCTAAATATATATTTGACTTAATTCCATATACATAACATACTGGCTGCATTGCCTGGCGTTGCTCTTGATGCTTTAAAAACAATGAAGAAAAAAGTTTTGTAATTTTTAAAAAATGGAATTTTTTCTAACATGTATCTCTCCTGGGTTGCCTCAAAAAATCGGCCAATTTTGTCCAGCCGTTTGGCCAGCTATATCAATGAATATATACATTTAAATACATATGAGCGAAGAGCTTTATTATATTGATTTTATTTAGGATGTTTTTGGTGTACAGACAGCTGCACAGATAGACATTGATAAAACTAAACTCATAGAAAGAGATAACCCACTCTCAAGGTAGGGTTAAGATAAAAATTTAACTCTTTAAATAAAGATAAAAAAGATTAGTTTTTTTACTCCTTTCTTTTAAAAAATGCTTTATAACATAATACTATCAAGTAAGTAAAATATAAAAACAAGTATTAAATTTATGTGAACTGATATAAACTTAAATTCTGTCTTGACGATGGACCAAACCTCTATTGAGTAAATAAAGTAGATGTTAGTTCCACATTTTATTAAAAATATGTTTCGGTCTGCGTTCACTCTCGTGTTAAAAACTGTTGTGCACTGTACTGTAACAGATATTACTATTGTACTGTAAAGTTGGCCCTGAATGAATGGTATCTAAAAATGGTTGCATGGCTCAAACTTGGTCGTGTTGCTGGGATCATAACGCTTAAATCATTAAAATGATTTATGACAAATTTCAAAATTAAAATCAGCTCCGGGCTGAAAACCCATTTTACAATCGGGACTTGAAACCCCAGGCGGCTTTGATTTGATTTGATTTGATTTGATTTTGTATTCTAGGCGTGTATGTGATCACTAGAATAACTAGCTAGTGATCTAGGATAATATTGCATTATGTATTCTAGGCGTGTATGTGATCTCTAGAATAACTAGCTAGTGATCTAGGATAATATTGTATTATGTATTCTAGGCGTAAATGTGATCTCTAGAATAACTAGCTAGTGATCTAGGATAATTTAGTATTATGTATTCTAGGCGTTTATGTGATCTCTAGAATAACTACCTAATGATCTAGGATAATATTGTATTATGTATTCTAGGGGTGTATGTGATGTGATCTCTAGAATAACTAGCTAGTGATCTAGGATAATACTGTATTATGTATTCTAGGCGTGTATGTGATCTCTAGAATAACTAGCTAGTGATCTAGGATAATATTGTATTATGTATTCTAGGCGTATAACTAGCTAGTGATCTAGGATAATATTGTATTATGTATTCTAGGCGTTTATGTGATCTCTAGAATAACTAGCTAGTGATCTAGGATAATATTGTATTATGTATTCTAGGCGTGTATGTGATGTGATCTCTAGAATAACTAGTTAGTGATCTTGGATAATATTGTATTATGTATTCAAGGCGTGTATGCGATGTGATCTCTAGAATAACTAGCTAGTGATCTAGGATAATATTGTATTATGTATTCTAGGCGTGTATGTGATGTTATCTCTAAAATAACTAGCTTGAGATCGAGGAAGATGAAACTAACGATCGTCAGGCAGAGGGACAAGCTGGAGATCATTTTCAAGGTAAACTAGATTATCACCAATACAAGTGTTAAAATCTAGAGATCTTAGATTATTTTGAAATATTTATTGGAAGTTTATAAAAACAACAATTCTGTTTTCGCCGAATTATGGTTTGTTGGGATTTTGAATACATATAAAGAATTCTATTGAATCCGAGAGAAGGTTTTTTATCCTAATTGCATGTTATAAAAGTACTTCCTTGAGAAAAACTTTTTCTATTAAAAAATTCTGCTGAATTACAGGGTATTAAAGGGACTGAAGGCGTAATTTTAAGTGCCTTTTCATTTTCCAATTTCCAACGGTGCCCCTTAGAGTATTGTCTGATCGAAAACGAATGAGATATCCACCTTTTTCTATTTAAAATTTCAATTTTGGTTTCTCTACTCAAGTTACATATGGAATGTTGATGAATAATCACTTGCTGGAGAAATGTCGATATCTTCCATATAACTGATCAGTTTAATGTTACAAGAGTAGGTTTGTAAAACATGCATATTCCTCTATAAATGACGGGTCACTTGAAACTACAACTTTTGTCCTAAAAAATCTCTGATAAATCTGAAAGTGATGAAGAGTAAAATACTATCAATAAAACTATTTTGATAAATATTCAAAATAAGGTTTACGAATTTTGTATCCCATAACATGGAGAATGCTGGAAGAGCAAAAATTAGATTGAGGGGGGGGACAAAATACAATGTTACACATGTTACTGAACTGATTTGAAGTACAATCATCTGAAATGTATTTTTTTCAGCATTTCCTGTGTGAGGACCGCTCTTCCGCATCCGAGTCAAGTTTCTCTTACGTCGACTTCTTGTGCCATATGCACAAAGAAATCAGAGCAATCTTGTCCTAAATGTCGTCTTCTTTACTAAAGGTCGTCTTCTAACATATGGATAAACTGGTGTCCCAAGGACAAGCGGTATTGTCCCAAAAGACCAATTTTTTTTGTCCTAAGAACAGCCTGAACGTGTCCTAAGGACGTGGTTATTTAAGATTGTCCTAAAGTGCAGTCAATCATTTTTTTATTGAGTGCAGAAATGTGAATGGCCCAGTTAAATTATCGGAAATTTTAATTCTTTGTTTGGTCCTCCTTTTGGTTTAAAAGAAAGTTCTCTTCGATCCCTGATTTGTCAATTGTTATATATTAGACAAAATCACATTTGGAAGCGTTCTTACATTATCTATATCGATTATCGAACCTGTATTTTATCTAAACTATAGTTGATATATTACTAAAATACTTTTTAGCATTTTCAAGCTGAACTTTTTATTTTTCCTAATTATACTTTTAATTAAAACCCATATTGTCATTACTCTAAAAATGTGTAATCGTATTAAAGAAATTTACAGTGTGATAAACTTTTTTTAATGTGGGGGGGGGAGGGGGGCTTTAATACTTCTGTTTCTTGCTTATACGGTTTAAATGTGTATACTGTATGTACAGTGTGTGTACAGTACTAAGTATATGGGAGAAGGTTTGAAACTGAGCAATGAGAATCCAAATTATATAATTATTAATTATGTATTTATCATTAACGATTTTATTATTGTAGACAAATATATTTTATTTTAAACTTCTTTTTTAAAAATAATTTTGAATTTTATTTCATGACTTTATTTCTGTTTGATTAAATGGTGTTATATTCTTAGATAATTTATAATTAATTGCATGGTAAGGAAGAATAAATCCCCTTTTTCCCTGAAGGGGAAATTGGCATGTGATGTATTCATTATTCGAAGGTTTAGTATTATTCAGAACTACTCAGCTCTATTGCCCTTCGCAGCCCAACCATTGGTGGAGGCTGTGTGTTTACCCTTCTCTCATTGGTTGGTTATGTATGAAGACTGAGCTCTGATTGGTTCTCTCTGGTTCATGCTCTTCTCTCATTGGTCTGATTGTATTTTGTAACCTCAATGAATGCTACCAATATATTCTGGAGGCCTCCTAGACGTCACTCAACGGTCTACTTATTTTAGGCCTTCATCTAATCTAAGAAATCTTTGCCTCGGAGAGAGTCTGGGGCGGGCGCCTCCATCACCCCCCCCCCCTTCCATCCTCCATCTTTTTGTCCAAAATAAAATATCTTATTCAGCTTTTCTAAGAATAGTTTTTCAAAGTTTTCCTTCAGGTTAATATTTTATTCTTCGTGTTTTAAGGATTTTTTTCTAAATATATTTAGTTTTTCAACGGTTTTGAGGCGTAAAAAGCCATTTTTAGATGAGCATTTTAACTGCTAAATTTCTTTTGACAAGTATCATTTTTGTTATTTACATCAAAAAAATATTTGACATTAAGTTACTTGTAGAGTTTCACAGATCCAGAGATACCTAAGCAATTCACAAGTGTTGAATGTTCTTGAAATAATTAATATTTCTTCAGCCTTTTACCCGCAGTTGGTCTGAAATTGCGATTCTATCTAGTTTTCTCTTTAAAAGTGGATTCACTGTTCACGGCCGGGGATTGTATGTATTTTTTTTAATTCTCATGTTCACATCGGAGACAAAAAATGCTTAACGATATTTTTCAAATTTAAATTTTTATGTATCGATGAGATTTTCTTTCTAAGACAGACGTGTCATAACAATGAAATGTCCTATCTGTGAAATGGCTAAAATATGAAATGTCCAAACACCAACCATTTCACAAATAAAGGAAAAATAGGATAATTTAATTATCAATTTATCAATAAAACTATTCATCAGGTTTGCACCTGTTATAAAATATTTTGACGGAAAAGATTTAAAACTTCAAAATATATATTTATATATATATATATATATATATGTGTATATATATATATTCAAAATATATCCTGAAGGAGCTGAAGAAGCTGAAGGGCGATGACCGGAAAAGAAACGTTGAAAAACATAGTTGATTTTTTAAGCCTATGCCAACCCCCAGGCTACCCATGAGTGTCGTCAAAAAAATAGCCCATTCAGTCCAGCCGTTTGGCCGGCTATAGGGAACATGTATACGAATGTCTTATTTTGTTATATAAATATATTGGAAATGCCAAGGTATTTTGTATTTTCAATTCATATCATTAGGTTTGTATGTGAATAAATGCTGCAAATTATTTTATAGATGAAAGACGACCGTTACGTTGGTTGTCAACTGTTAAGATTTATGGAGCATCCTGTATATGAAACTTGAATGAAGTATATTAAAAATATTAAAACAAATAAAATAATTTTATAAGTGTGTTCTTTAAAATCTATCATAAAATATTAAAAAAATATTTTTTAAACTACTCTTAAAACGAATTAAAAACATGTATAAAATTGAAAAAGGGGGGGGGATACAAAAGCGTTCTCTATGGACAGGGCCGTATTAAGAAAAAAAAATTAAAGCCTAAAATCTATATTAATCATATCTGACTATTTGTCATCTGGCCATAATTACTTATCATACCATTTTCAAATCTAGTAGTAAAAGAGCATAAAACTTTTTAAAAATATATATATTTAATTTGTTTGAGTATATCATATATCATAAATCATATTATGACTAGATAACATTGGAGATAGTATTATTTACAGCTTAATAAAACTCTGCGTCAATATTCTTGCTCGGAGAGACTGATATGGATTTTAAATGAAACCCAGCGATAAAAATATTGTAAATAAGATTAAAGTACAAGAAAGAATTTGAGAAATGGACAAATTGTGACATTGTCAATTGATAAGAAAAGGAAAAAAATCTCAATATATATGTAAGTTTAATTTACATATTAGAGCCTGTCTCTGGCTCTAGGGGGTGCACAAGGGGTACCGGCCCCCCTCCCACTACGCCCCTGTCTATGGACATACCCTATAAATGTGTAATCAAGTGCACAACAGGATATTAAACAAAAGAATCTGTTATTGCAGAGCTCGTTACCCTCTGAGAGGTTTTTATTGAAGAAAGAAAATCTTTTATATTTTTATTTCTATTTTCTTTAGTTATACTAGAAGACGCTACATAGAAAAAACGCTACCAAATAAAAGGCTAGTAAAGAAAAAACGCTACTCTATCAAAATATCATAATAATAGTTTAGAATTTTGATGAAATGATAAATTATATTTTTTTATACAGAGGATTCCATATCATATTAGATTAACTCCAAGGTTTAACGCCAAAAAAACATGATACTCGAAAAATCTAGCATTTTCCGCAAGAAATGTTTTTTACATGCCTTATGCCAGTTTTCAAAATGATTCAATCTTTTTTAATTATCTGATTAGTCCCGAAAATCGTAATTTTGACCGATTAACGATCAAATAAGATGCGGGTTATTACTTAAATTTTCGTAGTTTGAATGTTAAATGGGAAGGGTTAGGGAGCCGGGAGTTGGGGAAGGTTGAAAATGGTCAATTATATTATCGTGTATTGACACAGCTTTTAGGTTTAAGACCGGTGAGTGGACCGCGACGAAATTAATTTTCAACCTTAATTCAATACTTGGTATATTCCTAGAGAACGATTTTTGGACCCCCTCCTACCAATTTTGTACATGGATCTTAAATGACATGAATCTTAAATGTAAGACATGTGGCCGCAGCGCTCGGCCCCCTAGCCTGTCCTAGCCGCAGCGCTCGGCCCAGAACTTGTCTTAACTAACCTAACTCGTGGCCGCAACGCTCGGCCCCCTAGCCCATCCTAGCCGCAGCGCTCGGCCCAGAAAGTGTCTTAACNTCTATATCTTTCTGTCTAGTTTATTTATCTATCTATCTATCTAGTTCATGTGTCTATCTATCTATCTGTCTATTTTAATTATCTATTTATCTATCTATCTAGTTTATGTATCTATCTATCTATGTAGTTTATGGATCTATATCTTTCTGTCTAGTTTATTTATCTATCTATCTATCTAGTTCATGTGTCTATCTATCTATCTGTCTATTTTAATTATCTATTTATCTATCTATCTAGTTTATGTATCTATCTATCTATGTAGTTTATGGATCTATATCTTTCTGTCTAGTTTATTTATCTATCTATCTATCTAGTTCATGTGTCTATCTATCTATCTGTCTATTTTAATTATCTATTTATCTATCTATCTAGTTTATGTATCTATCTATCTATGTAGTTTATGGATCTATATCTTTCTGTCTAGTTTATTTATCTATCTATCTATCTAGTTCATGTGTCTATCTATCTATCTGTCTATTTTAATTATCTATTTATCTATCTATCTAGTTTATGTATCTATCTATCTATGTAGTTTATGGATCTATATCTTTCTGTCTAGTTTATTTATCTATCTATCTATCTAGTTCATGTGTCTATCTATCTATCTGTCTATTTTAATTATCTATTTATCTATCTATCTAGTTTATGTATCTATCTATCTATGTAGTTTATGGATCTATATCTTTCTGTCTAGTTTATTTATCTATCTATCTATCTAGTTCATGTGTCTATCTATCTATCTGTCTATTTTAATTATCTATTTATCTATCTATCTAGTTTATGTATCTATCTATCTATGTAGTTTATGGATCTATATCTTTCTGTCTAGTTTATTTATCTATCTATCTATCTAGTTCATGTGTCTATCTATCTATCTGTCTATTTTAATTATCTATTTATCTATCTATCTAGTTTATGTATCTATCTATCTATGTAGTTTATGGATCTATATCTTTCTGTCTAGTTTATTTATCTATCTATCTATCTAGTTCATGTGTCTATCTATCTATATATCTGTCTATTTTAATTATCTATTTATCTATCTATCTAGTTTATGTATCTATCTATCTAAAGTCTGTGTCTTTTTATATATCTTTTTATATTTGTATCACCAATTACCTCTCAAATTCAAATAATAATAATAATCACCATATAATTCACCTCCATATTTTAGAAAAGCATTTGTATGTGTTTTTAAAGAGTTTTTAAATTGAATTTGTGACATTTATTTCTAAAAAAAAGCTTTTTAATTTATTTCAATTTTCATTTTTTTGTGTATTCTTAAAAATCAAAAGCTCGAATTATTTCGAAGCATTTATATAATATAAAAAATGTCACTTTTCATTCCTAATTCTTTCAATATTTGCAGGTTTTCCCATTCGAAAATGATATTTGTTTCTAAACATATATTTGGTACTATTTTTAAATGTTTTATGACGAAAAATGTGAAAATTAGAACTTTTAATCTTTGTATCTAAATATTTTAAAATTCATGAGTTGTTTTTACTAAATTATCATTTTAAATATTTCTACACTTATTATTATTACTTAAATTTTTCCTATTTACTCGGCTCCCTAGCCCATCCTAGCCGCAGCGCTCGGCCCAGAAAGTGTCTTAACCTAACCTAACCCTAAATAGTACTAAATAGAAAGTAATTGGGTCATGTACAAAATTAATAGAAGGGGGGGGGGGTCCAAAAATCGTTCACTAGGACAGACCCCAATACTTAAATATTTTAGCAAATATCTAATATTTTCACAATTACTGGAGATCGAGTTTTTAACAAAAACATTGAAGGTTCTAAAACAGTTTATGCTGTAAGTATTTCAAAACTTTTGCTGAATATACTTCCTGATGTGACACCTCAAGGATGCTGTTTTCATTATGCCACAAGTAT